CCCTGCGTGAATAATGGCTACCATAAATTGCTCGTTTAATAATATACTATTAAATCCAACCTTTTTGACAAACGTCATATTGACTTTTCGCACAAATCATTAATGAATTGAATTTTTTAATTACAATCAGGATTGAGTAAAAACACTGCAGCATGCATATACAGTTTGTGTTGATTGGCGTCTGTTGGTATTAAAGATGATTGTCATTGGTTAATTCATTATAGCGTTAAATAATCTTATTAATACCTACTTACAATTAAAAATATTTAAGGAATTTATTAAGCAAGTTTTTACAAAACTAGCAATGTCGCTTATTCCTAACAGAAAATGAGACATTTTTAATAAAACATTAAATTATTTTCAAAATAAAATACTGTAAATTTTTCTTCTGACTAATGAGAATAACGAATTTGTTGCTGCGTAGGTATATATAACACGATTATTAAAACTTTAATATATGTATTTTTTTATAATTTTTATTAAGTTAAAAAATTTAAGTAAGTATATTATCTACGTGGACAAGAAATGATTATTGTTGAGGGCTATTCAAGTCAAGATATGTTACATAGGAAATAAAAACCTTATTTTTGACATATTTACAATACACCTGATTTACAACGTTCTTGTATAAAAATATTACCCCCACCATCCCCTAGAGGGAGATTGAGGGAGTAGCATCCCCAGTAAATTAAGTTAGGTCTTTTTAAATAAAAGAGTTGGGATCTACGACTTTTTCCACGTACATACACCCGAATTTATATTTTTTTTTTGTTTTTTGGGAAAAAACTTGTTTTTCTGTGACGAGAAAAGTTTAACATTTTATCTCTCTTTTCAGGTAACAAAATGTCACTTTTTATGAAATTACTTTTTCCCATGTTTCCTGGGAGAAAAGTGTTTCCCCGGGAAGTAAAGGTAGATATTTTTTTCTATATTAAATCGTTGTTTTTCCCATCACAGAAAAGAAATGGTGTAATATAAACGGGAAAAATATTAGATTTTAGCTAAAACTTTTTTCCCTTGTATAATAAATAAATATTTCTTGTCTTTGGACTTTTTTGACCTGAACTGATATAGTTTGAAGGTGGGGATTTGCATTTAAAAATCGTCACAGAGGAGATAAAACTATTATTTTTGGTACATTTGTAATAGACATAATTTTCAACTATTTTTTTATAAAAATTTACCCCCACCATTTTGACCAAATTTTGGAATTTTGGATGTGTATGTAGAAAATCTAGATTCAAACTGTTTTATTTAAAAAGTTTTAACCTAATATTTTGGGAATTCCATCCCCATTCTCCCTCTATAGGATGGTGAGGGTAAGATTTTTATACAAAAGCGTTATAAATCTGGTTTATTAAAAAATGTCAAAACTTAATTTTTATCTTACCTGTTAATTTTTTTTTATTACAAAGATAAGGAAAAATCGTAGATTTTAAGTGTTTTATTTAAAAAGTTTTTTATCGGATTTCCTATTTATGAGAAAATACATCCATATATCTAGTTTGCTCTCAATATCTCGATTTGAACTGCCCTAGCCGCAAGAGTACATAGTCCGACTTAAATGATTTTAAATTTGAATTCAGAGTTTAGAGTTAAATAATCAGTTGTATTTTATAATTATTCTCGTATTACTAAATCGTAGATTTCATACTTAATTTACATTTGGCAACTGTGCAAAGGTTCAGAATTGTGCTATTAGTGTGAACAAAACTGTATAAAATGGTTCAAGATTGTATCAATCTTCTAATGGTTCAGGATTGCACAGATCCAGTAAAATCTTTAGAAAAATTACATTTTTTTAATGAAATATTCAGAGTATACATTTCACATTACAGATAAAGAAACCCTCTTTTTCCAATATACATTAAATATACTTATCCAACTTTATTATTTTTGGGTGGTTCAGGTTTGATAGAATCTCCAATTGGCTTGAGATTGATAGAAAGATGTAAATATAAATATATATATATATATATATATATATATATATATATATATATATATATATATATATATATATATATATATATATATATAATATTAAAAACAATATATTACCGATCTAGAACTCACCTAACAATAAATTTTTATCGAGAAGCTGGAGTATTAGATATTTATCACTTATTTGCAAAAATGATTATTACAAAACAACCTAAATACAAACACACTTTACAATCGGTTAATTATGACCACGCAATTCGATATAAACTAAATAATGTTGTAATACCGAAAACCAAAAAAACTATAGGAAAAAAAGTTATGCTTACCTGGATCCTGAATTCTATAATTAAATACCGTTAGAAATTAAAGAACATTTATTCTCTAAATTTATTCAAATAATAAATAAAAAATGGATATATTCCATCCCTAATGCGAAGCTGCAACGTTTTATTTTCACAAATAACGAATGTAGTATGGTTACCTCTGAATTATGGTTTTTTATAGTATTTCGAATAATATTTTTATATAATTCTTCCTTTTTTTTATATAATATTGTAATATCGTATTTTATTAAGACTGATTAAGTAACTTATATTACCTTGAATGAGAGCGGTCATTAATTATTCAAGTTCAATGATAACAAATAACAAATTGAGGATTGTTTTTCAAACAGGAGCAAGTAATTTAAATATCTTCTACGCCTGCCTTGTATTAAATCAATAAAACTCAAAACATAGAATTAATTTTTATTTATTATGATAATTGCTCAAGATTATAATTACATATTAGACATGACACAATTATGTATACAGATCAATTGTACAATGACTTAACTATGTGGCTAACACAGGGGATAATATAATCGTTAAAGTGCCACCACCTTTTATTTTAGCTAAAATATTGTAATTAGCTGCCTTTCCTTAATATAATACATGAATTTCAATATACATTGAATAATTTGCGAAAAGATTTAAATTCAGTGATTAAGAAAACATTTATCAAAATTTAATTATAAGTGCACTTAATATACCAGATCAAACCTACCTTACTTCAGGAATAAGTAATAGCTGAACCAGCCCTTACTGAGTATCTGTGCTTGGAGTGACACTACTGCCATATGAACGTACAGCAACTGACATTAGTGAAATGGCAAGAAGACAACGGTTCAGGACCTGAATTTTTTCTAATTCAATAAATAAATTCAAATTGGTACTCACATTGATTTATGTATAATCAATATCTTGGTACTATGTCTAAGTACGAGATTCTGCTTACCAAACCATTTATTAAACCAAAATTTTTTAAGCTAATAAGTAAAAAATTAACTCTCAAAAAAATATGTATTTTTCTTCCATCAGTTTTTCTTAAAAGTCAACAACTGTTGCTTGGCAGTTTTTCAAACCACTATTTTTACAGAAGTAAAAATGAACTTTACGTTCTCTGCTCTGCCTATTGTAAGTCATTTGGCCATCTTGTATTGACGGTCATTGAAAAGTGTTTTTACAGAAAGTACAGGGAGGCAATATACAGAAAATTATTAACCTTAAAAATAATATATAAATTAAATTTAAACAAAATGTAGTGAGTTTTCACAACAAATACTAAATAACCAAAAATAACCCACGCTCAAGGTTTCTTTTTTTGGTTGTTTCTATTTATTTATCTCGAACGAATTTACATTTATTCATATACATTGTTTTTATATTATTTTTGGTAAATTAGTTTGCTAGCGTTATCTTTAATCAGTTGAAAGAAACATAATGTTAAACGACTGTGATACTCTTAGAGTGATACCGTTAGAGTAATGATATAATGGTTTATTTTATGCTTGTAGATCCATTCATAAAAAATGTTATGTATAGAAAATAGCTAATTGTTTATTAAGAGCGGAAAGTGCTATTTTGCCGCTTAAGATAAAAAGTTGCCGCGTGACGCGCAGCGGATTACGGTATTTTATCGTAAGCAGCAATTAAATTTCTGTTCGAATTACACACAAGATTTTTTCTACGATCACACGATATTAAAAGTATATAGCTTTATTTTGCCGAATTACGTTAATTTGACAGACACGGTGTGTTGCCTGCTTACTCTAGGATTAATTTTATTATAAGCATAAAAATATTTGTTAGTAAGTACATCTTAAAAATAACTTAAAAGAGCATCGGATAGAATACTCAAATCGAAAATTAATGGCTCACACACTCTTTTAAGTTTTATTTAATTTAGCAAACAAAAAATCAAATTTAAAAAAAGTTATAATAACTGGTGAGGATTAAACTCACGACCATCAGGCTCTACACCAACAAGACATGTTAAATATGAGTGTTAAAAACAGAGTAATTTATTTTTAATATTTTAATTATCATTTAAATATTAAGGAAAATGAGTATTAAAAGTATTAAGTGTTCAACTAAAAGATTCAGATTAGTCTATTTTTTCATTTAAAATCCGATTAGCTTTATAATAACAACCTTTCTAATAAAAATAGGCGTGTGAAAAAAGTAACTTTTCCCCTATATGTGGCAATAATGTCAAACTATAACAAATCATGGAAAACGTCAACTTTCCAGTTAGATTTGAATGTGCAAAAGCCTACTTTGGATAGTGATCGTAGGAAAACCACTTTAAATTATAAATTTACAAATAAATTGAGTTTAATCATATATTTGTATACATAAAATGGTAACAAGAGTATGCTTAAAAAGTTCATTCATATTTATTTTATTTGTCAGTCATATTAATAAATTTTTCGATCTAAATTAAATTCAAAATGAAATAGATAAATTATCACCAAATACTACAAAAATGGCCCTCTTATAATAAAATTAATATGACGTTTTGAGTAAAGTTGAATAAATTTATAAATTTTATATTATAGCTATACACCACTATTATACCCATTTTGTTATTAATTTGAATGCGGAACTTTTATGGAACGCTAATAATGCAGTATCTTGCATAAAGGTCCCCTCAATTTCCTTTCAATAAAAATAGTTTTTTTTAGGAAAATTATGATATATTTTAGATAACTAATTTTATATATTTTTTTTTTTTAGCGAAGATCTGCTCAACGAAGAAGATTTATACAATCTACTAAGTTCCATACATTGAACGTCATCTTAGAAAAAAATGTTCCATCCATACCACCTCATTACTCCATATAGACTTTTTGTGTCACGTGTCGTAATTGTTAAGATCTACGTTGTGGTTAAGAAAAAATAATAAAAATTTTATGCGACTGCAGTCACTATTTTATAATAATTGTGATTTTAATTTTAATATATTTTATGTTTATATAATAATTGTATATATATATATTTTAATTAATTTTTTTATTTGCCAGTATTTTTTTGTACAGTTTAGGAACATATTTAAGAATGTACCAGTGGGAATCTATTAATAATAATTTCACTCCTTGCGAAGACTCCGTATATTTTATTTACTATATTGGATGTTAGCATCACAACCATTTATTTATTATCCAAACTTTTGTTATAACAAACAAAAAATATATAATATTAAATTGACTACACAGCACTAATAGTTGTAGTTTTATGAGTAAAACAGCAACAAAGAATGCATCATGAGAATGAAGGACAAATATATTATATACAGGGGTGTCCGTGATAAACGTATGTACTAAAACACTTCAAAACCGTGTTAAAGTTAAAGTAAAAAGAATCGAATTTTAATCAATTTGTTGAAAACGTTTGTTGCCAAAATTTTTTAAATGTTGGACCTATTAGCATAAATTTCGATTTGTGTGTGCACGGGGCAAGTTTTGCGGACATGTTTATTAAGCCCTAATAGTTTGTACATTTACGGGACACCCTGTATAAATAGAATGCTACACAAATCTTATATTGTTGGTAAAAGTGATTTATTAAAAAATTGGTAACTACCAGTTTCGACTGTGCAAGGTCATGATCAGGCATAAAAAACCATATTGTGACTAACTAAAATAAAACCGGATTTTACCAATATGAAAATAAGTAAAAGTTTTATAATAATACCTAAAATCAACTTGTAAAACCAAAAATTATTCAAATGTTTAGCTGAACCATGGGAGACAGAGTAGCTTGTAGTGCAATAAGAAGGGAATGGTGACAAAGTTAAAAATATTAGTATCCCATACCTGGCATTATTAGTACTATAAAAAAATGTGTTTTTGCAACTGGCAAAAAAGATGACATTTATTGGTTGCTGATGAGGGTACGTGAAGTATCTAGGCTATTTTTCTTACCTTAAAAAAATGCATTTTTTTAATCTAAATAAAGTATGTATTATAATTCAGTTTTTAGCCTTGGTCATAAATTTTAAAATCTTCAACAATTAACTTTAGGTAGGTATCTGTATCTGTAACGTGTGGAGGGTGGGTTACCCCCCACAGCACTAAGGCCTCATTGTGCATCCTTCTTTAGTTAAAATCAGGCATTTTTATTTCAGAGTTAACTTCAGAGAAAAACTGTGTCCCCTCCTCACCTTCTACTATAGGAGGGTCTTTGATTGTGCTATTTGACTTTTTTCCCCTATAATAATCTCCATAAACTTTATATTCAATAAAACGTACATGTTTATTCTTATAAATTTTACCTGATGTGGGATTCATAAGATAATAAAAGGTTTCACCACATGCAATCAACAAAGCTTGAGTTGCTTTTTCTTCAAACCTATTTTTAATGTATGGATTTAAAACATAGCCCACACATCCAAACCTTTTCAAATATGTTACTGTTCATGGTTTATTACACATTCTTTGTCTTGGTATCTAAAAATCTATATTCTTTATTGGTTTTATTTTATAAACACTCAAAATAAATTGCAGGGCATAAGCTTACATTTGTTGAGGGAATCCAGAATCAATTATTCAACACCTTATTTCCTCTTGCAGTTCTCTATTAAATCTTTCCGCAGTTTCATTTAAGTCAGAATTATGAGGTGGAGTATTTTCTAAAATTATTTTTTCACGCTTAATCAAATCTTTCATATTTTCTGTACGGTATTTTGTACCATTATCTAACCTAAGTAAGCTTATTTTAACTTCTTTATTATATATGGCACGTGCATTTTCCAACATTTTCCTAAAAGCTATATGCACTGATGTTTTATTCACGCATAACGTGACTATATACCTTCCTCCAAACTTATAACTACAAGGAGTGATTGGTCCTATTGTATCAGTGTGAATAAGCTCAAAAGGAGCATCATAACGATACCTTTTAGTATTACATGGTTGTTTGACTAACTTTGCTCTTGTACACACTTCACAATCTGTTATTGTATTTGTGAATCTAACTTTTTCTAACTCTTTTATACAACTTTTAGCCTTTTCTGAATAACCTTTTGATACATGTTCTATCCTGTAGTGCCATAATAAACCTATATCATCTTTCAAACTTTCAATTTTTTTCTTACCTCAAGATCATCTAATTTCATATCATAAGCAGCTTTTAAATAATTTGCCAACTCATTTACACTTGCAACCTCTTTACTTTCAGTTTCACTTGGTTCATTCATTCCAACTCTGCAATATGTATGTTCACCATCGTTTTGGTAAAATTTACTAACAGTGATCATCTAATATAATTTCTAGAACTCCAGATCTCCCTTCGATCTCAATAACTCTGTTTTCTCCACTTGCAATGTGATTTTCTTATCATGATAATAACTTTCGATTTTAGCAAACTTATTATTTGAGTGAAAAAATTCCACTAGATCAAAATCTAGCCACCAAAACATTCCATCAAATTTCCACTTTTTAATTATTTTCCCTGAATTTCCACTATGAATTAAAATTTCTTTATCATTTAACTTTACTGTACAACCTTTATTTATCAATTTCCTTATAGCAAACAAATTTTTGGATAAACTTTGGTTCGTTACCAAGTTGCTTTAATGTTGGGAGAAATGATCCATGTGGCGTTTAATTAATTGTTTTTTGTTGTTATATATAAATCGTATTCTTAAAACTAATCTTTCTTTGACTTACCAAGGTATAGTGCTGATTCTTGGAAAAATAGGAAATATTCGTGCCACCGACACAATTGGTGATAATTTTGTATTCGATGTCGTACCGATTGTCGCAAAACTCGTACTCGTACTGTCCTTCGGCTATTTCCGAAGGCACGATTTGGATAAAAATGATAAAAACGGAAAAAGCAAAAACCAGAGGCGGGTCATAAGGTTTAGGAATAGGTTCATCAAAATATACTTATAAAGAGTAAAGTGAAAACAATTTTGACGCGAATAACCTATTTGGATACAATAAAAATAAATAATAAAAATAAACAAATATTATATAGGATCGTAACGATCCAAACTTTTATTAAATAGTAAATCTTTTAATTTAACAACTTTACCATTTTTCCCTTTTGCTAATACTGTACCTTTATACTCAACTTTAAGATCGGCATTATTATTTGCACCTTTAATTAGTACAAACATTATCTAATTTTACTATATTCGTTAACTTATTGAACTCATTTGTCATATGTTTAGTTGACCCAGTGTCGGCAATAAAGTTGATTTTAAACTTACCATTCTCAGGCTCTCCAGAAATATAACCAGGCTCTTCTTAATCTATTGCCAAGAAGACAAATTTATCATGACATCATGACCTTCATCATCAGTAACCTTCATACGCTTGAACAGTTTTTCGTTAGAGGTACTATTATGGGATGAACTCTGACCTTGAGATAGTCTTCCTCGCTGTGCGAAACTACCGTGGCCTCGTCTACGTTTGAAAACACCTCTTCCTCGTGATCTACTCCGGATATTGCGTTTCAATTGATTTTGATTGTAAAAATAAACAACTTTATTTTTTTTTTCAGTGTAGGTAGCTTTTGGACAGTTACTTGTGATCGGTAACTAATTGCCGACAATCAAAGCAAATGCGTTTAAGATTTTTACATTCATTACTATGATGGTTTGATTTTCCACATCGAAAATTCACTTTAGCTTTTTCAGTATTTTTGAACTTTTACTTCTCATAAGTAGCAGCAACAAGAGCTTCACCTTCTGATGTACGTGTCTTTGTCTCCCTTTCTTTTTCTTTGACATTTATCAACATTGTCTTTAATTCATTAATAGTCAACGTTTCATTAGAAGCATCATACCTCCTGGTTAACTCAGGATAGGATGTTTCTATTGCCCTGAGGAAATTCTCAACCACTTCTTTTTTCCTTTAAGCTTTCTCCATGAACTTTTATTTTTATATCTTCAAAACGTAGAATAAAGTCAACTGCTGATTCTCAATTTTTTTTGTAAAACTAGCAGAGTTCCACTGTTGTTTCGCAGCAACCTTTAATGATAGTGTGGTTGGATTTTTTAAGTTTTTAATTTTATTCATAATTTCTAACGAGGTTTTTAAATTGCAAATTATTTTTCTGTAATCTGGATTTAAACGTGACAAATTATGTAAGTTTGCAAATCCCATTCTTCGTTTATCTTCATCAGCTGATATTTCAGGGCGTGGTAAATTTTCATCAAACATATATTCAAAGGAAAATGATTTAAAATCATTCATTACCACATTTAACCACACATTAAAAGACGTTTCTTTTTTAAGAATAAAGGGTGGGTTATTAATAGTTTTTGGAGTAAATGTTTTTAATAACTCGTTAACTTTAGCTTTCAAATCTTCAATTTGTTTTCTTATTTCATTATACAGCCCCTGAGGTGCTTCATTTTCTTTAGATTGACTTTCTTCTTTTCGCTTAGTTTTCTCATTGTATTTTCTATTTCCTGAAATATTTTCCACTTTATACTTTTCTATACTAATTTTGATTATATAGTTATTTAGGTATACTTTTACAAGGTAGATATTTATTTTGTGTTGTTTTAACGGCCGTTTTTGCCTCGTTAACAACATATGTCAAACAAGCAAACGTTCAACTTAAGCAGCTATGAAAACGTTATACCTTAAGAAAACTTTAACCTTAACCTTAAAGAAACTTTAAGACACATTTACAAATAGTATCAAGTGTGGAGGCTAGGATTTTTCGTATATTTTTTATTATTATATACCTTTCATACAGTGTTCTCAACTTAATATCACGCTTATATAATTTTTTTTAACAATGTATCACCTTATTTTCTTGTTTGGCTTCATCACCTTTTTTTTATTTTAAACATTACAGAAAACTTTAAAACCTTAATAAGCTTATTTTTTTGCAGTATTAATAAAAACGCCTTACTTTACTTTTATTGGAATATTTCTTGCTAGCTAGCTTTGCTTATTGGTCTTGGGGCTCAATTTATTATCTCGCTGCCCGGCGCCTCCACCACGTTAGAATATTGAATAAAAATGTCTTTAGAATCGTTTTAATTACTTTATTAATACATCTTAATGAAAACGGTTTTTATAACTACAAATAATAGCTTCTGTTTCGAGCGTGGTCTTTGTCGAACAGGACGGAACCGGAAGCATGTATCATCTGTCATATGGCACGGACAGTCAACTCTTCGTCTTCTTCTATTAATAATGAAATAGGTGCGTTCCATTCAGTTGAGCAGAACACAGAATATGTTTTCCATTCCAACGCCTTCTCTGTTTCCTGTCTACGTCTCGCATTTCCATGTGGTACCTTAACGACTATGGCTTGGTCGCCTCTCGCGGTCGTCTGTCTCGGTCACACTTTGCTAAATGGTATCTGAATACGCTATCTGCCGTAAACATATATTTTCTAGGTTTATAACCTATAAAATTGTTGTTTGTGTCAAACTTGTTCTCGCAAATTTAAAAATATGAATTCAGATTTTGAATTATCTGATATAGAAAATAATTGAGTTCACATCTATGAAACGGTCTTTAAAATAATATTGTACGTCACGGGACCGAAAATTAGTGTTAAGCAAGTCTCTCCAAGCTCCCAGGTCTCTCCTACGGCTTGCCCTGGAATATGCTTTTCTCGACCTGCAAAACTCTACCGGTCTTGTAACGTAAATTACTATTAAAATAAGATTTTTATTTTGCATTAAAATTACTCTGTGGATAAGTAAAATAATTGTTACTTTAAAAACTCATTTCACCAGGTTAGAATGTACAGGTTTTTAATTTTAATTTTTGCTTATTCAATAAATATATTAAAATTAAACTAATTCCATAATCTCTTTGAATGCGTACCGAGTATTTTTTTGCATTATCGTAATATATACTTATTTTATTAAAAGTTTAATTAATTAAATACAGCTTAGTTTTATTATAATTTGAATTGTTTTATCCTTTTTAGTGACTGTGGTTGTTTATATATGATACCAAATAAATGTATATAATTAACGAACATATTCTGGCATTTATTATTTTTTTATACTTTTTTATTAAATATCTTACTGTTGAATATTACCTAAGCAGATACTGAATGATGTTTATTAATTAATTGAGTAATTGGTTGCTTCAGAACTTTTAGCCAGTGAAATAAATGTAGATTACAGTTGACCAAAAATGAATTAAATAAAATTTAATTACATATCTACCCACTGTTATAATTTATTTACCTTTCCATTCCCATTTCCAACAAATCAAGATCCACGGACATTGTTAGCTAACAATGTCCGCTAACATTGTTAGCTAATATTTTTGCGATGTATTAAATTCCAATAACATTTCCGCTAACATTAATTACAATGTTAGCGAACATAAAATGATATTCGCCGATTTATTTATTTTTCAAAAGAAAAACAAGTGTAGTTCTGTATATACGTGGAAGATTTACGGCCGTCTTCTTCACCAGGACACTGCCTTCCAAAAAGAAGATCATGAGGAAGTTTTATCTCCTGTCCAGTAATCATCATGGATGAAGTAAAATTGCTACCATATTCTCGAACTCATGAGAGCGTGCCTACATTCTCCTACTTGCCTGCTTCATCACTAATTTAGCCAGACGACCAAAATCAAATTGTACAATGCTGTGGAAATGATCTTTTTTTTTTTTTTTCATCATTTTATCGTACGAAACTGACCTTACTAGTGTGATGTTATCGGAGGCTGGTTAATTGAAGAGTTTATGGGGTTACGGTTACGGTAATTAGATAATACTTTTATTGAATAGACATAAAACAACATAAAAAAATAACAAACTATTCTTGTTCAGCTAAAGTTTAAAAAATAATTTGTTTTCTTTGTAATCATGTAATCCTTTCTGATTTTGATTCCAATTGTTTTGTCTATAAATTTTTAAAGATTTATCTTTAATAGTCCATAACAACCATCAAGTATTTGTTTCCCTTTCTGTTAAGGGAAGTGGTCCGAGAATATCTATGGCGATTTGTTAGAAAGGCTCTAAGGAAAGGTACTGTGCCCATTTCTGCCATTACATAGGTCACATTCCTTACACCAATCTTCTACATGCAGTCGGCAATTGACCCAATAAAATCTTTTCTGAACTCATGACAGTATCATTTTAGTATCCAAGTGTCCTTTTGAACGGCCGCTATGAAGCTTCTCCAACACACTCCTGACATGTGATTCCAGCAGTATTACTTGGCGGACGACATGAACTCCATCGGGGCTCTCCCACTTTCGGTGAAATTAGCCCTAGTGAAGATACAGGGAATCCCACTAGTACCCTTTACATAGATCCATTATATTTGGATATCTCTTGCCATGTAGGTCTGACTCCATTTTTAAACCATTCTCGGACAACCTTCAAGTCATTGTCTTTCTTTTGAGTTTTTCTTAGGCTTTTAAGGATGATTCCCTCTTCGTCATCCTCTGGCTCGATAGTGGTCGCCTACAGACTAACTTCTTGAACCGGCTTATCTCGTTCTTCAAGCCTTTTATAGTACCGGCATTGTCGTTCCAAACACGGTCGCCTGGAAAGAATGTCTGCGTTGCTATGAAGACGGTCCCTTCAACGCATTATCTCGAAGTTATATTGTTGCATTCTGTTTATCCATCTAGCATTTGGTCCTTAAGGTTTTTTAAAATTCATCAGCCACTGAAAGACGCTATGGTCACTTCTAATAATAACACTTCTGTTAAAAGGGTTAGTATGGAAGTGTTTAAATGGCTTTTACAATAGCTAAAAGTTCTTTTCTGACGTAATTTTTCTTTTTAGCTTTTCCCAAGGTCATACTAAAATACGCAATTATTTTATCTTTTCCTTCCTGTTCTTGGGATAGCACGGTGCCCACGCCGTGTTGGGATGCGTCGCAGTCCAAAATAAATTGTCTTTTTTCCGAGGGTAGGCTAGAATGGGTGAGGTGGTCAATCGCTTTTTCAATTCGGTAAAGGCCTTTTTAGCAATCCGACGTCCAATCAAATAGACTACTGTTTACAATTAATCAATGAAGGGGTTTAGCAATTTGGCCAAAATCTGACGAATTTCTGATAATATGAGCACAGTCCAACAAAACTTCTAATTTCTCTTTTATCTCTTGGTTTAGGCTTATCTTTGAAAGTGGCAATTTTTTGTGTCAGTTTTGATTCCGTCTGCGGAAAGGATGTGTCCCAGAATAGGCTTTCGACTGGAACATTTAGTGCTCTTTCACACGGGGATACTGTATGCCAGATACGCGTATCCGAGATACAGAATCGCGGTCGAAAAGTTGGGCTTCTGTATCGAATTCACACATCTCTTCAATCAGTTTTGAAATAGTCGCAGTGCCGGGCATATATTTTTGAATAATGGATCTAGAAGAGTGTATTATACTCTGGTATATGGTGTCAATTTTAACATTTATAAAAAGTCACGTGATTGACTATTTGCATGTCATTCATTATAATTTTTAAAGCAACAAATGATGGCAAAGTAAAAATTTATCTACATCATTTAGAAAAAAACATTCACATGTGACGCGCAATTAATGTGTGACATTGTATATTAAGAAAAAGTAATCTGTGTGTCCTGGATCCCATAAACAGGGATTAGGCTACACCAAACTAATAAATTTTTCGGTGTCTAAAACTATATTCTCCATCACTACTTTACTGCGCTTAGTAATAACAGTAATACATAGTATAAAAATTTATAATAAATTTATTTACAAATAACGTATAATATTTTAGTAGACCAAAACCTGAGTGTTTTACATCTCTCAACTTTAATTATATTTGAAAAATAAAAATGTGCAATACACACAGAGTTGGAGTTTTTCGACGAATAGTGGATAATAGATAATATAGATAGATGATGTAGATAATAATAAGTAATATTCCAATTAAGAAAGTAACAAGTATTAGAAATTATAAATTTAAAAAACCGACTTCAAAAACGTGCAGATGCCATCACCACATCTTGACCAAATTTATATGGGACCACCCCTGAGCTACCCCCTAACAAAAAAAGAATCATATAAATCGGACAAGGTGGTAAAGCATTATCGCTAAACATACATAAAAAGTGAAGAGTTTGAGGATTTTCTCATGGACCCAATTTTAAGATTTAAACCAAATTTATATGGGACCACCCATAAAGTACCCCCTTTCTAACAACAAAGAATCATTGAAATCGAAAGCAGCCTCAATTTCATATACTCTTATTATGTTTTTGACTACGAACCTTTAGCTGGCTTAGGAATAACTGTTTCAAATGCTGCTGGCAATACCTTGTCTCCAAAGCTTGGACAAGAGACGAATAACTGGGTTTCTATTATATAAGTAACTTCAAAACGGGTGCTGCCTGGCCTCGCAGCGACACTATCAATGAAGCCGCCACTCCTTCTCAGCCTAGCCATTGATTCTGGTAGCAGCTTCAAATTGGACGCGATACGTTTCCTATGTTTTTCCTCTAAATTTGTTTTTAAATTCTCTTGTTGTTGCCATAAATTAGCTTTAAAATTTTCTTGTTGTTCTAAATTTGCTTTTAAATTTTCTTGTTGTTGCTCTAAATTAGTTTTTAGATCATCTTTCTGATCTTCTAAATTGGTTGTAAATTTTTTAAAAAGATCTACTCGACTGTTGAGCTTAAATTTGTAGCAAAAAATTCAGAAGTTTCACCTCTGCTTTTCTGCGTCTCTCCTCCTTCTCTTTTTCCTCTTCCTTCCTGCGCCTTTTCTTTTTCTCTTCTTCTCTCTCCTTTTCCTCATATTCTTCCTTTCTGCGCATTTCCTTCTCATCTTCTCGCCTATTCTTTTTCTCCACTTCTCTCTTCCTGTGCCGTTCCTTTTTCCTCTTCTTCTTTCTTGGTGTTCTTTTCCTTCTCTTTTTTCATCTTCAAAAACCATGCTAAGGAACTTGAAGTATCCATGCCTGTTTCGTACTCAGTGAAACTAGTATTAACTATCAACTTTTATTTTGTATCCCACCGCTGTCACAAATATTACGCTGGTTTTTGGTAACTTAATTTCGATGGCACAATCAAATACTGCCACAACCAAAATTTTATTGTTTCGAGAAATTTCAATCCTCAAAATTAAACAATTTTAGTACTAAAATTGTTTTCTTGGTACCAAGAAACAAATTATGATATTCAGAAAATCACAGTGAAGATTAATAATTATATATAATGTTCTAATAAATGGATATTTTGAAAATCTGATTATTATTGGATACAGATTTTGAAAGAAGTAAATAGTATCGCACTAATTGAACGTATCAAAGGAAAATAAATCCAAAAGATAAGTACTTTTAAATTGATAAGTTATTTGACAGTGAAGTAATTTTCAAAGTTGTCATTGATAATGACATACTTTACAATCTACAAGTTTTAAAAGCATTCAAATGAACAGAATACCAGCTGGGAGCAAAGCAATTACAGAAATCCGGAAGAAGATTGAGAACATATTTTTTTTAATTATTGTTATCAGTTTTAACTTGTTTATAAAATTTCAGAAAGAGAAGCACACCCTCAGGAGTATTGTTCCTGGTGCTCAAAGTTACGCCGGGGCGGAAATTCATATCAATATATATATTGATATGGTATATTTGTATCTGGGTTTTTGATTATTTAATGTATTTTAAATAATAAAGTTAATGATACAAACATCCATCTCGTTTATTAAATATTTACCTTTATTTGTTATTGTTGTGCTCCGGCTATGACTGGTGTTGTCTCAGGCGTCTTGGGTTCAAGGTACCTACCCAGCTAGCACAAAAACGTCCCATCTACGTTAATAAGCTGCAATTGTAGGCTCTTTAAGCTCGCATGCAATGTACTGTTAATGTAACCCTATCATCCCTGCAACCACCGAATGTCCGCAACGGCAAGACTTTTATAGCACATCTCACAGAAGTTAAAAAGTGAAGTTCGGAAAACATCACACTAGCACTTTTACGGTACTTACCCTGAAAGTTGCTCTGAAACTTTCTATAGATGTTATAATGTTAATTCATTCTACAGCATTATACAGTGTGTCCACGGATGGACTTAACAATACTTGTAAAAATATTTATTTTAAATTTAAAAGTACTTCTTCATAATTTCTTTTGCTTGTTAAATAAATACGATTAACGTTGAGAAATTATGAAAAAGACCTTTTGAACAATTTAAAATAAATA